TCATGTGAATCGGATAAAGAGTTCACGTGATTCGGGATAAAAGTTCATGTGATTCGGGAAAATTAAGCTGTCCCGTGTGGAGATAATTTACATATCTTGTTATCTCCTTATTGGATGTGAATCTATAATACTCTTGGAATTGATAAAACCCGTTTCTTGGTAAGTTGTTAAGATATTGCTCAGATACCTGTGGAGGAGGAGGTGAGGAGGAGGAAGAGGAAGGAAGAGGAGGAGGAGGATTTGTTGATTAAGATGGTTGTTTGGTTTACTGAGACACTTTTTAGTTGTTGGGAGTGATTTTGTTTTCTGTTTTTGTTTTTGTATTTGGAGTTTTAACACACTATTACCCCCTTCCCTTCCTTCCTTCCTTTCTCCCCTGTAATCTTCTTTCATGGGAATGGGTGAGGTGTAGGCATAGGGTGGCAGAGTGCAGGGCGTGGATTGGATAGCGTGGGTTAGAATTAAATAGTATGGGTAGTGTGAGTGTAGGTTAGGTTAGCGTGAACGTGTAGGACTGTAGCAGGAGGGTGTGGGGTGTGGGGGGGGGGTAGGTGTGGGTGGAGCGTGGGTATGGGGTGGAGCGTGAGGTGTGGGGTTTGGAGGTGGGGCTTGGATCGTGGGTGGTGGAGCGTGGGTATGGTGAAGCTTGGAGCGTGGGTGTGGGGCTTGGATTGTGAGTGTAGGACTTAGTGTGTGGTTTGTGTGGGGCTTGGAACATGGGTGTGTAGCTGATAGTATGGCGCGTGGGTGTGGAGCTGATAGTGTGGCGCGTGGGTGTGGAGCTGATAGCATGGGGCGTGTGGCGAAGAGATTTATAAGTTAACTCATGTCAAAGTCACTCTCGTTTTCCCCAGCTGCTTGCACGGTCATGCCAACACTGCAGGCTACACAGCTGGTGTCCTCGGGGAGTGGGGGGAAGGGGAGGAGAGAAGGTGAAAGGGAAGGAGAGGTTAGGGGAAAGGGGGAGGAGAGAGGCTGAGAGAGAAAGGGAAAAGGAGAGGGAGAAGGGGGAGGAGAGAAGGTGAAAGGGAAGGGAATGAAAGGTTAGAGGTAAGGGGGAGGAGAGACAGCGAGAGAGAAGGGAAAGGAGAAGAGAAGGGTGGGTGAGAGGGAAGAGAAAGGGAAAAGGAAAGGGGATGGGAGGAGAGGAGAGAGGGTAAGGAAGAAAGAGAGGAGGAAGGTAGGAAAGAATAGGAAGGAAAGTGTGAATGGAAAAAAGGAAAAGAGGAGGAAATTCATATGACCTCCCCCCCGAAAAAAAAACCCGCTATGTTCTCTCAGTAAAGTGTAACCAAATTAACTGTAAACTGTTATCCCTCTCTCGGGTAGACAGGGAGTGACTGGGTCTATACAGTGTCTCGGTTAGTTTAGACTGTCATAAACTGGTTTGCAAGGAGCTTGAGTGGTAACAGCATTATGTAATCTGGTCAGCATTCTCAACACCTCACACTGTCTTTGACCTGTTCTGAATATGTTCTTGGTGTCGTTTTCAATTGTCATGTTCGAAATGTTTTTATTGGTTCGAAATGTTTTGTTTACATGAATTTTTTATTACGTGTTCAAAACGCTTCCATGTTGAAATTTAGGTCAAAGGTGATTTTTGTTTTAGAATATTATTTAAAGTTTAAAATCATTTACTAAGGAGGATTGTCGTGTACGTAGATAAATATTAAGTAATTATTGTATACATCAAGAATTATCAAGTAACAATGTCTTGTGATGAATATTATCAAGTTAATTAATCGTATACACAAATAGTTAATAATCCAGTAACAATGCTGTAACACACACACTCAAATTATCAAGTAACATCGTCGCGCACACAGATGAATGCTCAAGTAACAATACTCACACTCAAATTATCAAGTAACATCGTCGCGCACACAGATGAATGCTCAAGTAACAATGCTCACACACACTTAGGTTATCAAGTAGCATCGTCGCGCACACAGATGAATGCTCAAGTAACAATGCTCACACACACTTAGGTTATCAAGTAGCATCATCTTCTATACTGAGCCCTGATACGAGACTTTAAAAGTATCAGTCACTGCATAAATTTCCATTCGTGATTGCGTTCCTTCCTTCCTTCCTCATTCGCTTTTGTGTATAAAGATTGTCTGCCACTTTTTTGTGCACAGGACTGAATATTTCGGAGGCTAATTTTCTTGTTTTTATTTTGTTTTGGTGGAGTTTAAACCATTTGAGTCCTGAAGGGTTAAATTATCGTTGTCAAAAGGGTTAAATCGTGGTAGTCAAGGGGTTAAAAATCATCATCAAAGGGTTAAATCATCGTCGTCAAAGGGGTTAAATCATAGTTGTCAAAAGGGGGAACATTATCTAAGTCAATGGGTTAAATCATCTGCGTTAAAGGGTTAAATGTTAGTTGTTAAAGGGTTAAATAATCGACATCAAAGGGTTAAACCATTTATCGTCCTCCAAAGGGTTAAATTATAGTCGTCAAAGGGTTAATCATCGTCGTCAAAAGGGGTAAATTGTGGTAGTCATGGGGTTAAAATCATCATCAAAGGGTTAAGTCATCGTCGTCAAGGGGTTAAATCATCGTCATCAAAGGGTGTAAATATCGAATGTGGAAGTAGTGTAGACGTAGAGAGAATAAATAGGTAAAATATATAGATATGATGGAAGAGAAGAATGAATGTAAAAAGAGAGAAAGAGGAAAGTTTATATACGAAGTAGACAAATGGACATAGAAAGAATAAATAATAAATATATAAAAAATAAACGAATTCGTAAACATTAAGAAAATAGATATATAGGTAAAAATTTCAATAAAAATATAGATACAAACAAGAAGAATTAACAATTGAATGAAGAGGTGATTAAGAATTCAGATGCGACACTAGAAAAAAAAATATATATTATCCGTTGTTAAAGCATATTATGGTATGTCGTAGGCGTTTTAGAGTGAGTGTGGGTGGAATAGGATTAGGATGGAGTGGGTTAAGATGGATAGATTTAGTTTGGCTTAAAAGTACTATTAATGCTGAATTAGCGTAGGGGTGTCTGACCTATGAATTATGGATAGGGAGAAATAAGAGAATAGATTACGTCCTTACAAATGAGGTAAAGTAGAGAGAAAAGATGATGAAACAGATGATAATACAAATAAAATAAATGTGTATGGTATGGGAGAATAAGGGGATAAAGAATGAATAGAATATAGTTTACGAAGGGGAGAATGGAGAATAAGAAAATAGACTAAACATAGAAATAATGACTTGGAGAGACTGTAGCCAAGAGTAAATATTATTGAATGTCTCGACTTGTTCTCTCTCTCTCTCTCTCTCTCTCTCTCTCTCTCTCTCTCTCTCTCTCTCTCTCACAGAAAGCGCGCTAAATACATTCACATCATTTCGTCATTTTAATTCAGGAGTGAATGACCGAGTGTCTTCAGTGATCGTCTCGTTATGAGTAAAAAAATATCTTGAGACATTTTTTTCAGCGAATGAAAAAACGGGAGGGAGGTGTGAGGGAGAGGGGCGGGAGAGGGGTGGAGAGGAGAGAGAGGGAGGGAGGGAGGTGCAAGGGAGAGAGGAGGGAAAGGGTATAGTGAGAAAGGAGGGTGGGGTAAGGGGGAGAGGAAGGGAAAGGGTATAGTGAGAAAGGAGGGTGGGGTAAGGGGGAGAGGAAGGGAAAGGGGGGGGGGGGTCTGTCCACGAAATCTTAAGATAATGTCAGTTATGAATCATTTATTGTCCAAGAAAACTCTAGGATAAGAATGAGCTGTTTTTTTCTGCTTAATTCATATCTTAAATTACTTTTTTTTAACTAATTTTGTATATTCGTTTATTGTATGTTTTTTTGTTTTGTTTATTATTCTATAGTTTCTGCATTTAATTATTTGAGAATTTATATATTAATTATTTTTTATGTTATGTTATGTTATAAGCATTACAGATCATGTCTTTACTCACATGACAGATGTTACTTTAAGGTGTAATTAACGTAGGTAGTGACCCATTCTTACCTACTGATTAAAATCCAATTTAAAGATCACTTCCTTTTCCCTATATTCAGACCCACAACTATAATTTATATCATCTTAGGGAGGGGAAAAAATATGTGTGATTTAACGTGAAGGGAAAAAAAGATATGTGGTGGTTTAGCTGTTAATAGATATGTGTTGGTTTAGCTATTAATAGATATGTGTTGGTTTAGCTGTTAATAGATATGTGTTGGTTTAGCTGTTAATAGATATGTGTTGGTTTAGCTGTTAATAGATATGTGTTGGTTTAGCTGTTAATAGATGCGTGTTGGTTTAGCTGTTAATAGATATGTGTTGGTTTAGCTGTTAATAGATGGCTGTTAATAGATGCGTGTTGGTTTAGCTGTTAATAGATATGCTGGTTTCAGCTGTTAATAGATGCGTGTTGGTTTAGCTGTTAATAGATATGTGTTGGTTTAGCTGTTAATAGATGCGTGTTGGTTTAGCTGTTAATAGATATGTGTTGGTTTAGCTGTTAATAGATGTGGTGAAAAGATTCATTGATCATTTACACACGATCACCCGAGCGACCACAGAACCTTGTAACAATTCCGTCAGGTATGAATTTGGTTTTCTTGTTCAGTGTTGTGTGGTGGTGGTGGTGGCGGCGGCGAAGGTGGGGGGTGACGAAGGTGGGGTGACGAAGGTGGGGTACGAAGGTGGGGGGTAACGAAGGTGGGGTGACGAAGGTGGGGGTGACGAAGGTGGGGGTAACGAAGGTGACGAAGGTGGGGGGTGAGATAAGGGGGGGTGACGAAGGATGGTGGTGACGAGGTGAAGGTGGGGGTGACGAAGGTGGGGACGAAGGTGGGGGTGGTACGAAGGGGGTTAATTCTTATCTGAGGTGTGAGATACTGTATCATTGTATTTCCTCCCCCTTCCCTTATGAGTGTTATCTGAGAGAGAGAGAGAGAGAGAGAGAGAGAGAGAGAGAGAGAGAGAGAGAGAGGTCCTTAGGTACAACACTCTTTTTCTCTTTCACCACAGTCCATCATCTTGACCCAATGATCACTTGTTGGTGTGGTGGCATGTAGGAGATGCTGGTAGTGCTGGTATTTGTAGGAGATACTGGTAGTGCTGGCTTGTAGGAGATACTGTAGTGCTGGTGGCTTGCAGGAGATACTGTAGTGCTGGTGGCTGCAGGAGATACTGGTAGTGCTGGTGGCTTAGGAGATACTGGTAGTGCTGGTGGCTTGGTTGTAGGAGCTACTGGCAGAAATGCTGGTAGTGTGGTGGCTTGTGGAGATACTGGTAGTGCTGGTGGCTTGTAGGAGATACTGGTAGTGCTGGTGGCTTGTAGGAGATACTGGGTAGCTGTACTGGTAGTGCTGGTGGCTTGTAGGAGATACTGGGTAGTAGCTGGGTGGCTTGTAGGAGATACTGGTAGTGCTGGTGGCTTGTAGAGATACTGGTAGTGCTGGTGGATTGTAGGGAGATAGTGTAGTGCTGGTAGCTTATGGGAGGTACTGGTAGTGCTGGTGGCTTGTAGGAGATACTGCAAGTGCTGGTAGCTTGTAGGGATAGGTACTGACTTGTAGGGATACTGGTAGTGCTGGTAGTTTGTAGATACCAGCTTGTAGGAGATACTGGTAGTGCTGTGAGTAGGGATACTGGTAGTGCCTGTAGGAGATACTGGTAGTGCTGGTGGCTTGTAGGAGATACTGGTAGTGCTGGTGGCTGGTGGAGATACTGTAGTGCTGGTGGCTTGCAGGTAGTATAGTGCTGGTATTGCAGGAGATGGTAGTGCTGGTGGCTTATGTGGAGATCATTGGTAGTGCTGGTGGCTTGTAGGAGATACTAGTGCTGGATATAGTGCTGGTGGCTTGTAGGAGATACTGGTAGTGCTGGTGGCTTGCAGGATATACTGGTGGCTGAGATACTGGTAGTGCTGGTGGCTTGTAGAGATACTGGTTTGTAGGAGATAAGTGCTGGTGGCTTGTAGGAGATACTCGGTAGTGCTGGTGGCTTGTAGAGATACAGTGCTGGTGGCTGTAGTTGCGGGAGATACTGGTAGTGCTGGTGGCTTTGTGGAGATACTGGTAGTGCTGGTGGCTTGTAGGAGATACTGGTAGTGCTGGTGGCTTGTAGGAGATACTGGTAGTGTTGGTGGCTTGTAGGAGATACTGGTAGTGCTGGTGGCTTGTAGAGATATTGCAATGCTGGTTTGTAGGAGATACTGGTAGTGCTGGTGGCTTGTAGGAGCTGGTAGGCTTGTAGTAATAATTGGTAGGTGCTTGTAGGAGATACTGGTAGGCTGGTAGGGAGATACTGGTAGTGCTGGTGGCTTATAGAGATACTGGTAGTGCTGGTGGTTTGTAGGAGATACTGGTAGTGCTGGTGGCTTGTAGGAGATACTGGTATACTGGTATGGAGATACTGGTGAAAGCTGGTGGCTTAGAGATACTGTGCTGGTGGTTTGTAGGAGATAGTAGTGCTGGTGGCTTGTAGGAGATACTGGTAGTGCTGGTGGCTTGTAGAGATACTGTGTAGTGCTGGCTTTGTACTGAGATACTGGTGGCGCTGGTGGCTTATGGGAGATACTGGTAGCTGGTGGCTTTGGGGAGATACTGGTAGTGCTGGTGGCTTGTAGGAGATACTGGTAGTGCTGGTGGCTTGTAGGAGATACTGGTAGTGCTGGTGGCTTGTAGGAGATACTGAAACACTTGCGGGGAGATGCTGTAGTGCTGGTGGCTTATGGAGATACTGGTAGTGCTTTGGTTTGTAGGAGATACTGGTAGTGCTGGTGGTTTGGGAGCTGGTAGTGCTGGTGTTGTAGGAGATGCTTGGGAGATACTGGTAGTGCTGGTGGCTTGTAGGAGATACTGGAAAAGGTGCTGGTGGCTTGTAGGAGATACTGGTAGTGCTGGTGGCTTGTAGGAGATACTGTGGTGCTGGTAGTGCTGGTGGCTTGTAGATACTGGTAGTGCTGGTGGCTTGTAGGAGATACTGCAGTGCTGGTGGCTTGTAGGAGATACTGCAGTGCTGGTGGCCAGGAGATACTGAGTAGTGGTGGCTTGTAGGAGATACTGGTAGTGCTGGTGGCTTGTAGGAGATACTGGTGTGGCGTGGAGATACTAGTGCTGGTGGCTGTAGGAGATATACTTGGGAGATACTGTAGTTGGTTGTGGCTTGTAGGAGATACTGGTAGTGCTGGTAGTGCTGGTGGCTGTAGGAGATACTGGTGTGCTGGTGGCTTGCAGGAGATACTGGTAGTGCTGGTGGCTTGTGAGATACATAGTGTTGAGTGGTTTGTGCTGGTGACATGATAGATTTTTCGTCTGAATAACGATCTTCCCTCCCCTTCCCCTCACTCTTCTTCCCTTCCCCTTACCTTCCCTTAACTCCTCCTCCTTTCCTTTCCACTCTCTATCTCCTCCCTCCCTCCCTTCCCTCACTCTCCTTAAATTCTCCCCTTCCTCCCCACCCCTCTGTGGTCCGCTCGTGCCCAAGAACTCATCAGTTATCCATTGGTGAAAAAAAAAGAAAAGAATCATCCGTATGTTTATTGTAGGTCAGGAGGTCAACCCGACTCTAGCTGTGACCTTCTGTTCTTGTTGCCTCTCAACTTACAAATGTAAACACAAATTGTAAAACTCAATCGATGCTTTTTTATGGATCACCTGAAGATAATTATTAGCCCCTCGTACAGCTTATGTCTCTTGAGGATTAAACACCTTATTGGTCTCTCTACCCGTGGGATTAGGTTAGGTTTGGGTTGGATTTGGGTTAGTTTTGATTTGGTTAGGTTAGGTTACTAGGATAAGGTAGGTTAGGTTAGGTTAGGTTAGGTTACAAGGTTAAGATAGGTTAGGTTTATATTACTTTCCGTTAATGTGGTAAGTTTTAAGGTGAACTAATCAAGGTGAGCGATTCTTCAGGTGATCCCATTTATTCCATGACTAATTTATCGGCGTGAATATTATACGAGGAGATTATGTTTATCTTGTGGGGTTTTAATTTATTTTTTTCTCTTGATCTGTGAGATTTGTGTGAAAGATAATGAGAATTTTTTTTTTGTGAACGGAAATAAAGTCACTGGAAAAAAAGTCTCTTTACTTGTACACATTGACAACACAATATATATATATATATATATATATATATATATATATATATATATATATATATATATATATATATATATATATATATATATATATATATATATGATGGCATTGCACGTAGGTTAGGTTAGGTTAGGTTAGGTTTTTTCCGTGCCTTTTTTTTCTGTGACGTTTTTCTTGTGATTTCTTTTCCTGGATTACGCTCAGACATACATTTATAGAAAGAAAGAAAGAAAGATAAAGCTGATGATTTTTTTCCGACGTAAATAAAATTTCGTAGTTGCGTGGTTTATAGTTCTCAGTAGCGGGGTTGAGGGTTACTGGCCTCTCAGCTAGATGGACCACTAGTTCTCGGTCACTTAAGAGTCATTTATAGAGAGGGAAAGGGAAGGAAACCTGGTGATTTTCTCGTGGTGGGGGTAGAGCTCAGAAGCCACTTGAACACTTTATTGAAAGGACTGCGAGGAATTAACAAGGTCAGGTACATAACACAACCCAGCTCAACTTAACCTAGATTATATTACCTTAATCTAACCTAACCCAGCCCAGCCCAGCTTAAATTGCACTAACCTGACCTAACCTAACTTACATTACACTAACCCAACCCAGCCTAACCTCACCTAAATTACCTTAACCCAACCCAACCCAGTCCAACCTAGATTACACTAACCTAACCCCTACCCGTTTAAGGTAACCTAAGCTAAGTTAAACTCATATAACCCACTAGGACGACACGTGCAGGTATAATAAGGTCAACCACTTAGTATAATATATGAATAAATGATATAAAAGACACCTGGAAGCTAAGTGAAAGTAATGTGTTTATTCTTGCAAGCATAAATTATTAGTTTCACCCACACATAACCTTCCTGTTGTGATATTAACACGACTAAACGATCCAGAGGTGTTGATTAGGGTATATAGGGAGAGGGGAGGGCGTGGTAAGGTGACGTTATAATATTTGTGAACTGTGATTGGTTGAGATGATGAGTTAGAGAGGGTTTGGGTGGTGGTTGGTTGATATGATGACGTCAGAGCGTATTTGGATTGGTTGGTTGATAAGATGACGTCAGTGAGTTTGTATACATTGGTTGGTTGATATGATGTCAGGGCGTATTTGAACTGTGGTTGGTTGATAAGATAACGTCAGAGCATGTGTGGGCGGGTATTCATCAAGGGGTCACGTGACATCTCAAACACACCAGACGCTAGACTAGAGTGACTCGCCGCCCCGTCTGCATCACCCGTGTTGACTCGCTGCATTTTAGCTGAGTCAGTCAACTGTGTGAATGCCAGCCCTGAGTTGACTCACTGACTCATGTACTGAGAGAGCATTTCCCCAGGGCCACGCTGATGCAACTTATAATTTAATCTTTGTCACCATTGCATATTTTTTGTTTCTGACTTGTGGGACCAGACTTACGGTTGGCCCCCTATCCATCCGTCCGTCCGTCCGTCCGTCCGTCTTTTAGGTTGTACTCGTGTATTTCGCGTGGCGGACGTGGCGGCTATTTTTATTTTATTACAATCACCATAAACAGTGTTTGTTAACTTCTGCTTTTCGCGTCCGAGGCTGGCCGTCCCTGGGGCCACCTGGGCGCGAATATGTTAAAGGAGTAGAAGCTGTCGCCAACACAACCACGACACCTTGACACCATTCATTAACATCCAGGTTCCCAATTACTGCTGGGTCGACAGAGGCCAAACATGACCCTTGGCTAAGAATTATTTTATCAAGAATATAACAGCTCGCTTATAGTGGGAAAAGAGAAAGGACCTTTAAGTAAGTTTAGACACAAGAGGTGGCGGGAAAGTGTTTCAAATCTTCACTAATAAAACACTGGGTCTATTTTTCCTACTATTTGTGTACATAAGTTTCTATTACTTCACTAAGATCATCAAACACTGAAACACTCAACACCAACCAGAATAAAACTCTCGTGACTCTTATTGTTAAACTTTACTGAAACACCTGTGAAATAATTCATCTTGTTAGAAACGTGTTTACCTTATAGTCAGATGAGTCACACAGGTGAGAGGACAATAAACTGCATCTTGGACTGTAAATAGCGTGATAATACTTGTTTATTATTGGAGAGAACGAGAGCTGTTAAAGATGCACTTTTGTGTCTCCTTCAGCCACTCTAGCAAGAACAGACGTAACCGGCTACTACACAGAGGGAAAGAGCCGGGTAACAGGCATATACAGCCGGTTAACGCAGGTACATACAGTCGATTGAGAAGCATATACAGCCGGTTAACAGGTAACATAGGGAACCGGGTAGCAAGTACAGCCAAAGAGCCGGCTAACAAGGAGAGAGAGAGAGAGAGAGAGAGAGAGAGGGGGGGGTGGCTAATAAAACACACACACACACACACACTCACACACACAAACACACACACATACACAGAGCTAGTTAACCGCAGAGAAAGCCGGCTAACCAGCAGAGCGTGAGCCGGCTATCAAGCACAGAGAGCCGGCTATCACACAGAGGGAGCCGGGTTAGGCGGTGGCAGGGCAAGCAGCAAGACCCGGTGAGGAGTAAAGTTAAATATGTATTCTGGCAGCTATTCGTATGGGCTCTCCCCTTCCCTTCATTTCTCTCTCTTTCATTTTCTTCTTCTGCATGTCCTATTTTCATTCTCTTTTTTTTATCTTCTGCGTGGTAAAGAATGTCGATTACTATGTGTGTGTGTGGTGGGGTGTGACAGAGAGAGGGGGGCAGATATTTTTTGCTTTAAGTTGAGACTAAGTTATGCTTCCTCAACATTCCTAGGAATCTTCATGCAAATTTAAGAGTTCTTCTCTGTTTGTGACCAACTCTCTAACTATTGTAATCCCACTAAATCTCCAGTGAAATAATCCCATTAAGTGGCAGACATGTCATAAAGAAACAAAAATCCTCCTCCCCCCAGCCACCTCATTAGCCTTTTCTCATCACCCCCTCCTGACGAAGGGGGTGATGTATACCCTCTGCAGCCGTTCCAAAAAGACGTCTTCTGTGGTGCAAGTGACGACCCTCTCTCTTAAGTGTTTATTAATTTATTGCCTGCCATCATGGTGTCTCTTAGCCATAGTATCTGTCAGTCCGTTATCCATGGTGTGTGTGTGTCAGTTATGGTTGCCTGCTAGCCATTGGTGTCTGTCAGTTATGGTGTCTGTCAGTTATGGTGTCTGTCAGTTATGGTGTCTGTCAGTTATGGTGTCTGTCAGTTATGGTGTGTTAGCTATGGTGTGTTAGCTATGGTGTCTGTCAGTTATGGTGTGTCAGTTATGATGTCTTAGCCATGGTGCCTGTCAGCCATAATGTCTAGTTATTATCTTGTTTTAGACTACTTGTGTGTGTGTGTGTGTGTGTGTGTGTGTGTGTGTGTGTGTGTGTGTGTGTGTGTGTGTGTGTGTGTGTGTGTGTGTGTGTGTGAGTACAATTGTCATGGGTTATATTAATTAGATTTTTGCAGTTGGTATTTCCGCTGACTTAATCTTATTCTTGAATGAGTGAGCGTGTGCGTCCGTGCATCCGGTGGCCTGGCTCGTGGTCCATCCGTCCGTGGCCTGGCTCGTGTCCGTCCATCCGTCCGTGGCCTGGCTCGTGTCCGTCCATCCGTCCGTGGCCTGCCTGTGTCCGTCCATCCGTCCGTGGCCTGGCTCAGTCCGTCCATCCGTCCGTGGCTGGTCGTCTTTTTGGGTCCGTGGACTGGCTCGTCCATCCGTCCGTGGCCTGCTCGTGTCCGTCCGTCCGTCCGTCCGTACCTGCCTGTCGTGGGTCGTTGATGTTGGTCAGGAACGTTGTAATTTCACTCCATCCGCCCTTCCACCCACCCACCCACCTCCCCCTCCACTCATCCACTTACCCACCCGCCTACTTACTCATCCTCACCCCTCCACCCATCTACCTACCTATCCACTCTTAATCCCCTCCCATCCACCTATCCATCCTTAACCCCAATCCACCCATACACCTATCCACCCTAAACCCCCCACCTACCCATCTATCCTCACAGCACCATCTACATACTCCCATACCCCAGCTAACCCACACCCACCCACTCATCCAATCTAACTTCCCATCCTACACCCACCAAATACCCACCCATAACCCACCGCCCACCCACCCAAAAAGGGGTTAGGTTATGGGCATGATCTGGGATTATTTATATTTTTAACGGGGGAGGACGTTCGAGGGTATATAGCGTGTT